GGGAAGGCTGATGAAAAGGACCTTCCCCCAGAGCCAACAGAGAGAGAAAACTTTCCCCTGGAGCTGGCACTCTAAATTTGGACTCTTATCTTCCTAGACTATGAGAGAATAAATTTCTCTTTGTTAAAGCCATCCACTTGTGGTATTTCTGTCATAGCAGCACTAGATAACTAACACAGAATTTCGTACCAGGAGAGTAGAGTGCTGCTCTAACAGACACCTAAAATGTGGAAGCAGTTTTAAAACTGTGAATGGGTACAGGCTGGAGGAGTTTTAAAGTGCCTAATAGTAAAACCCTAGATTGCCTTGAAGAGACTGTTGGTGGAATTATGGACATCAAAGAGAATTCTGGTGAGGACTCAGAAGGAAGTGAGGAGAGCTATTAAACTGGAGACAGCACAGACAGTGAGAAACAGCAGTAGAGAAGCGGTGGCAGCAGAACCAGGAGACCAGTGTGAGACAGCACTGGAGCTGACCCACGGAGCGAGAGAGCTGAGTGCCTTTGTGCAGGAGGCTTCCTGGCAGATTGGGGTGCCTCTGGGCACGTGTTGGTGGAGCTGGGTTTGTTGACCCATGGAGCAAGAGGGCTGAGTGCCTATCGGCCAAAGTTTACTGGTGGAGCAGAGTGCCTCCAGGCACTTATCAGTGGAGCTAAAGAGCTTCAGAACACTTGCCCCAGCAGGGTAGATGGGGCGGTGAAGCCCAAGGAGCCGAGAAGCCAAGAAACCAGGAAAAAGCTGAAGAGACAAGGAGTACAGGAAGCAGAGCTACCTCAGTCTCAAACGGTGGCACCACAGTCTCCTAAGTTTCAAAAAGTCAGATATTCACCAAGTTGGTTCTGGACTGTGGGGCTGCCATTCATGGGTGCCAGCGGGGTTGGGGCTGAGTCCACTGCCCAAAGCTGAGGGGGCGACGCTGCCATGCCCAATGGGCAGAAGAACAGGGCCTGCCGGGGCCCAGGGGTAGGATCAATACTCAGATAGACTAGAAGAATGGAGTCTCCAAAAGCCAAGGGAGCAGAGTTGCCATTCCAGCGGGCCTAGAAGGCAGAGCTGAAGCCCAGGGCTGAGGGGCCTCCACCCAGAATCCAGAGAATGTGCCCAAAACCCAGAGTCTGAAGGGCAAGGCCATTGCCTAAATGGTCTTAGAGAACAGAGGATTATTTTCAAGCCTTGAGAACTAATGTAATGTGTTCTGCTGACTTGCTTGGTGCTTGTTATCCTTTGTTTCCCTCCAATTTCCCCCATTTGTAATGGATTGTTTAGCTTGTGGCTGTTTAACCATTGTACTTTGGAAGAAGATAACCTGTATTTTAGGTTTCACAGATGAAGAGGAATTCTGCAGAAGATGAGATTTTGGACTTGGAGTTGATTTAAGACTTTTGGGATGACATGATGGGGTTAATGTGTTTTACATGTGGCAAGGACATGAATTTGGGGGAGGACAAGGGGTAGAATGTTATGGATTGAATTGTGTCCTCCTAAAATGTATGTCAACTTGGCTAGGCCATGATTCCCAGTATTGTGTGATTATCCACCATTTTGTCATCTGATGTGATTTCTCTATGTGTTTTAGATCCTACCTCTATGATGTTAATGAGTCAGGATTACAGGTAGTTATGTTAATGAGGTAGGACTCAATCTACAAGATTAGGTTGTGCCTTGAGTCAATCTATTTAGAAATATAAAAGAGAGAAGTGAGCAGAGATGGGGGGGACCTCATACCACCAAGAAAGTAAAGTAGTGCCAGGAGCAGCATGTCCTTTGGACCCAGGGTCCCTGTGCTGAGAAGCTCCTAGACCAGGGGAAGATTGATGAAAAGGACTTTTCCCCAGAGCCGACAGAGAGAGAAAGCCTTCCCCTGGAGCTGACACCCTGAATTCAGAGTTCTAGCTTCCTAGACTGTGAGAGAATAAATTTCTGTTTGTTAAAGCCATCCACTTCTGGTATTTCTGTCATAGCAGCACTAGATAACTAAGACAGATATATTTACAAAAAAAAAAAGAGAGAGAGAGACAGAGAGTAGTTGCTGAGGCTGCTTATGTACAACCAAACACCTCATGGGATTTGGTTCCTTGGTTTGGAGATTTAGGATCACGGTTTCATGGGAAATCCCAGTTAACTGGCCTGACAACATGTTTAGTGCGTCTGTTCTACCTCCTAGTTCATTGTGTAGTGCCTGGGGGTCTTAAAAACTTGCAAGTGGCCATTTAAGGGACCACAATTGGTCTCTATTCACCTGGAGCAACAAAGGAAGAAGGAAAGTCAGGAATAGGAGGAGGCAATGGAATGTGCCATTGATGCCTCCAAGAACAATTGCCTCCTTTGCCGTGAGATCAGAAGAACTGGATGGTACCATTAGTGAACATTTTGATCAAGGATTCTATAGGAGAATCCTGATCAAAAGGGGGAAAATGAAGAACAGAATTTCAAACGGTCATGGACTCCAGACTTTCTGGAGCCATGGAAGGTGGATGATCCCCTGAAACTATTGCCCTGAGATAATCTTTAAACCTTGAACCAAAAATATCCCCTGAAGTCTTCTTAAAACCAAACAATAGTTTAGCTTAACTAGTAAAAAATGTCTGCCTTGAGCATTATGCTTTTTTAAGAACCATTTATATGGGACCAGATTAAAAACAGCAACTTGAAAAATTAGATAGGAACCTCAGGGGGCAGTGAATATATGTTAATGGGGGAGGAACGACTCAGAAAAGGAGGGTGACAATGGTTGCACAACTCAAAGAATGTAACCAATGTCACTAAATCGTACATGTAGAAACTGTTGAATTAGTATATGTTTTGCTGCGTATATTCTCCACGACAACAAAATAAATAATTTTTTTTTAAAAAAAGTATGACAACACTGATAGGGAGAAAAACGTGGAACTGAACTTCAAATTCTCAAAAACTCCAGACTTACTGGACCAATTGAGACTGAAGGAATCCCTGAAACTACTGCCCTGAGATACTCTTTAAACCTTGAATGAAAACTATCCCCTGAAGTCACTGTTTAGCTAAACAGCAGGTTAGCTCATAAAATAAAGAATATCACCTTTGAGTATTGCACTCCTTAAAAAAATCATGTATGTGAGACCAAATGGCCAACAATTATTCTAAAATATAGATGAGAAGTTTGGGGGAAAGTGACACTAGGTTATTGGGAACAGAACTAGAATGGAAATAATGTGAATGCTGACACAATTTGAAGAATATAATCAACGTCACTGAACAATATGTGTAGAAATTGCTGAATGGAAACCTGTTTTGCTATGTACACTTTCACCAAAAATGCAATAAATTTTTTTTTTAAATTTCATTTAACTCATTAATTAATGAGGAAACCTTTAAGAAGTTACAACCAGTTCCAAGGAGAATTCAAAGAACCAGACATATATAGGCAAAAAGGAGTGCTGAAATAAGTGTACAAATAGATACAAACTGAGTTAAAAATAAATTGCATTCCATCAGACACAATTCGTTTGAATTTCTGTGGGCAAGAATCATTAGCATTATTATTAGTTTTCTACAACTTGCAGAGCCGTAATATAGCTCAAAGTCAGTGATAGGTGGAAATAACCTAGAACGGTGCCCAAGAAAGGACATTTCGTAAACTTTTTTTTTTTTTTGCTAATTTTAAAGTCTTTCACAATTTTTCCTAACGGGGAAGGCCTCTCCCCTTTCCCTTGCGAGCACACATCTAGTGTAACTAGAGAAAGCACTGTCTGTGAGGTGGGAACTGGCATTTCTGCTCGTGGAAAACCCACTAGGATGGATAAAATAAAAAAGACAGACAATAATTAAGTGTTGACAAGGATGTGGAGAAACTGAAACCCTTGTACATTGCTGTCAGGGATGTAAAATGGTGCAGCCACTTTTGAAAACAGTTTGGCAGTTCCTGAAAATGTTAAACATAGAGTTACCATATGACCCAGAAATTCCACTCCTAGGTATATACCCAAGAGAACTGAAAATGTATATCCACACAAAAATCTGTACAATGCTCATAGCAGCATTAATAGTCACAAATGAAAACATCCAAATACCCATCAACTGATGAATGGATAAATAAAATGTGGTATATCCATATAATGGAATATTATTCAGCAACAAAACGGATGAACCTTCAAAACATTATGCTAAGTGATAAAGGCAGGCACAAAGTGTCACACAGAGTATGATTCATTTGAAATATTCAGAATGGGTGAAATCTATAGAGACAGAAAACAGATTACCAGTGGTCAGGGACTGGGGAGAGGCCAGCTGGGAATAACTTCTAATGGGTCGGTGTTATTAACAGCAGTCAAGTGGATTCCAACTCATCACGACCTCATGTGTTACAGAGTAGAACTGCTCCATGGAGTTTTCTTGGCTGTAATCTTTAGGCCTGGAGAGCCGCTGGATGGGTTCAATCCACCAAACCTTCAGTTACCAGCCAAGCGCTTACCCTTTGGGCCACCACAGATCCTTTGCTGATGTGTACCAGGTTTCTCTTTGGGATGATGAAAACGTTCTGAAATTAGATAGTGGTGATGATTGCACAATTCCATGACCATTAATACAGCAAAAAACCACTGAAATGTTCATTTTTTAAGGGTAAGTTTTATGGTATATGAATTATGTCAATAGTGCTGTTATTTAAAAAAAAAAAGGTCTCCATACGCTCAGCAAAGAGCCACCAGACTTTCCGCCTCAACCTGGATCCACGGAATATGGCGCTCGCAACGGCCTTCTGGGCCTGCGTTCTAGGCCTGCCCCGCCCCTTCCTCCCCCAACTCCGAACAGACGCATCATCCGGGTTCCAATCCCCACCCCACCCCACGCCCCCCAATAACGGACCCACCATCCGGGTCCTAATCCTCCCTGTATAAAAGGACGCAGCCAAGGGGGTGTCAACCCCGCCATCTGCGTCTAAACCCGGATACTAGAGCTCGCGCCGCCCGCGCGGAACAGCCCACCCTGGGATTGCCTCCTGGACTTCGCCACGCCCGCCACCCTCACCGCCACCCTCCGTGCTCCACCTGCGCGGTCTTGGTCGCTGCCTGGCCCGCGCTGCCCGCCATGGCGACCGCACCTTCCTCAGAGGTGCGTCAAAACTACCACCAGGAGTGCGAAGCCGCCATCAACCAGCAGATCAACCTGGAGCTCTACGCGTCCTACGTGTACCTCTCCATGGCCTACCACTTCGACCGCGACGACGTGGCCCTGAAGAACTTCTCCGCCTACTTCCTGTGCCAGTCAGGCGAGAAGCAGGAGCACGCGGAGACGCTGATGAAGCTGCAGAACCAGCGCAGGGGCCGCATCCAGCTCCGCGACATCAGGAGGCCCGACCTGGACGACTGGGGCAGCGGGCTCAACGCCATGGAGCGCGCCTTCCACCTGGAGCAGAGCGTCAACCAGAGCCTCCTGGACCTGCACCGGCTGGCCACCGACAAGGGCGACGCGCAGCTGTGTGACTTCCTGGAGAGTCACTTTCTGCACTAGCAGGTGAGGGCCATCAAGGAGCTGGGCGACTATGTGACCAACCTGCGCAAGCTGGGGGCCCCGGATGGCGGCCTGGCCGAGTACCTCTTTGACATGTTCACCTTGGGCGACAGCGACAAGGAGAACTGAGCTTTAGCACCAGGGGACTTCCGTGGTCCCTTGTGCGCGCAAGCATGCTGCGGTTACAACAAGTTCGCTTCTCTTTCTTTTCTCTTCGTACTCTACCATTTCTTCCAATAAACTGCCTTGGTACCAGAGGTAAATAAATAAAGGTCTCCTGGTGATTCTTGTGTGGGCAACACTCCCAACTTTGAAGAACAGGGCAAATCCCCATGCAGTGGCCCAGGAGTCTCCCCACCCACCCATGCCCCAACCTCATGCAGCTCCGGAAAACCAGGGGTGGAGGGAGGGACAAGGTAATTCAGGTGAGCCTCAAAAACACAAAATTTTCCCCTTATAAGCAAGGTGCGGTGGGAGGTGAGGGGGAGTGAGGGGTGAAGAGGTGTGGGGAGAGAGGAGGTGTGGGGGGTGAGGGAGAGTGGGGAGTGAGGGGGATTGAGGGGTAAGGGGTTGTGGGGTAGTACCTGGGAGTCTCCCCACCCACTCATGCCCCAACCTCATGCAGTTCAGGATCTCCAAAGGTGGAGGGAGGGAAAAGGTATTTCAGGTGAGTTGTGGAAAACACAAAATTATTCTTCCCTTTATAAGCAAGGTGGGGTGGGGTAGGGTGGGGTGGTGCCGGGGTGACTACATGCATAAAAGAATAAGGACATGATGTGGAATTCATGATAGCGGTTGCCTCTGGGGGCAGAGGGGTGGAGTGTGAAGGGAATGGGATTTAAAACAGGGGGGTCTTTACTTTAGTCTACAGAGAGCCCTGGTGGCCCAGTGATTAAAAGCTCTTGGCTGCTAACCGAAAGGTTGAAGGTTCAAACACACCAGCTGCTCCCAGGGAGAAGGATGTGGCAGTCCGCTTCCATAAAGATTTACAGCCTTGGAAACCCTAAGGGACAGTTCTATTCCATCCTAGAGGGTCACTAGGAGTCCGAATCCACTTGAAGGCAGTGGGTGTGGGTTTACTTCGTCTAAAATGTTTTAGTTTATTAAAACATGCAAATGTTAACATTTGCTGAGTCTAGGTGGGAAAATGTGGGCCCCATAAGCAGGCATTGCAGAATACCTCTGACAAGCTCACCCTGGACTTAGGTGGGCTTCCCCATAGCAATAAGGTGACTTCCTCTGCTCACTGGTGCCAGGCAAGCATGTTGCAGTTACAATACATTCACTTACCTTTTCCAAGTTTACCGTTTCTTCCAATAAAGTGGTTTGGTACCAGAGTTAAATAAGTAAAGGTCTCCAGGTCACTCTTGTGTGGGCAACACTCTCAACTTTTAAGAACAGGGCAAACCCCATGCAGCTTTAAACTGGTCCTGCTATGAGGGCCATGCCTTGCAATTGACAAGGAGTTTGCTTATACAGTCAGTCCTTAGTATCCGTGGGTTTTGCATCCACAGATTCAACCAACTGCAGATTGAAAATGTTGGCAGCTGTGGGGAGAGCTCAGGGCCTGGGGGCAAGCAAGAGGGCAGCACAAGGCAAGCAAGGGCTCCCCAGGAGGAACGGTATGTGGTTGCGAAGGAAGAAGCTCCCAAGGGGAAGGATGCAGCCGCACCCCGACACAATTTGGACAAGTGAGGACACTAGGAATGGGGTTGAGAACTTACGCTCAGGTGCTTCTTGGTCTGACAGAGGATCTTGCAGAGCATGCTTGTGGCAGAGGTCTCTACTGGAAGGAGAGAACAAAGCTGGTAGGCCAGGACCTAGCACTCTGCACGCATATGTGAGGCATCCAAAGTCACCCAGGACCTCCTCCATGAAGGACCCCTGGCTCGGAGGGCAGCCTGCAGTGGGAGACCTGGATGCGGCTGTGCTTCAAAGTGTTCAGCACCTCATGCGTCCACCCTGACCTGACTGACCATCGCTATTCCACTTCAAAGTGAAACACTACATTCCTGTGCTGTGTGTGTGTGTGTGTGTGTGTGTGTGTGTGTGTGTGTGTGTGTACACAATGCTATTTTATATACGGGGCATGAGCATCCATGGAATTTTGGTACCCCTGGGTCGGGGTGGGGGTGACGACGACTCCTGAAAGAGCTGTAATACAGGTCAAGGCTGTAACAGTGAAGATGGCTAAGAGCCCGGAAGGGGGCCTGCCTGCAGAGCAGCTGTGACAGCGGAAAGCCGCTGCTAGGAAAACAGCTAGAAGAGCTGATGGGGCTGTTACACTGGCCATGCGTTGGGCCAGTTAGCAGCAGAGAGGCCGACAGAGGGAAGGCTGAAGGCAGAGAGGGGTGCATGGCTGAGAGGGGCCTGCTTGTTAGCACGGCTGAGAGCAGCTGAGACAGTTGTCCTGATTGGAAGCTGTTCTGCACTAAAGAAGGGAAGGATATGCTCTCCACCTCGGGAGACCCTTCTAAACTTCGCCTATGTGCTTTCTGATCCTGATCCTGATTTATTCCTGTTACTTCCAAGTTGATCCTGATTCTGAGTTATAGCCTGTTACTTCCCTAACAAACACATAACTCTGAGCATGGTCTTTGAGTTCTGTGTTGCCACTGCAATGAATTATAGAACCCAGCAGAGAAGTAGAGAGTGCCCTGGGGAAAAGGCTGCTGTGATTTTATGCAGTGTCCCTCTGCCCCCTTCATTTCCACCCCCACCCATTTTTCTGTAGCATTGTATCTGTGTCCTGCGATGCTTTCTGTTCATTTACATCAGTAGCTTTCTGGCTGGTTTCCTTCATGCTTGTCTTTCTCCTGTAATTCTTAACACCTGTCCTTTTCTTAAACTGTGTATTCTGACATTTTGTTCTCAGTAATTTTATTGACTTTCTCATATATAAATAAGCTTCCAAAGCTTATCTAACCCTATTTTCCTCTATTGCTCAGTTGATAGATATTTACAAAGTGCCTACTATGTGTGAGACACAAAGGGGAATACAAAGTCATAGCATCTAGAACCCTTGACCGTGTGGCTGTCACAATCAGACTAGGACTGGAAACTTCTAATCTTCTAATTTAGTGTCTAAACCTAATTCCACTGCAGCCCATCATGAGTCTTCTTGCCCAAAGTCCTGTAGCATTTCTAATCAGTCATCTTTATCATGCCGTCCAATACATGGTGCTATGTTGTGGTTTTTATAAGTTTTTAGCAATGGAAACTCGTGTCAAATACTTTTTCATGGAATGCTATTAACAGGTGTGACTGCTGAGGTTGACTACAGGTGCGGAGAACTTGGAATTCTTGCCAATACCCCTCCCTCCAGGGCAGTCCAGTAACCCCGGCACCTCCTAGAAGTTGATGAACGTATTGGGAACACCACCATAATATACCACCTCCTATTGATCTCCAATGTCATAGTTCCTCTTCTTTCCAGCCCAAACCAGTCTGCAGAATCTCCTTCACTAACAGCCTGCTTAGGGTTCAAAAGGCTCTTTTTAACCCAATTGTTCCTAAATTGCAAGTATACCATACTGGCTGTCTACATGTAATATCTATTAAAATCATGCTTGAAGACAGAACCAGATTTTACTGGTTCAGGTTCTTTGTTTTCAGCATTTCCATCATCACCGTACTTTTTGCTACATTTTCAATACTCAGTGGGTAACTTATGACTGATAATTTTCACAAGTGAAAAGTCTAGTGGGAGTGCAGGGAACAAGGCAACTGAACAAGAAATATGGTTCTCTTCGTGACATGCAAAGCAATATAATAAAACCAATAAAAAAGAGCTTTGGACAAAATTTCTATAAGCATAATGATTAAGCCTATATTAAAGAAGTCTAGAGTAGTTCTAAACATCTATGTTGAATACAGTCCCACAGTCAAATTTGATGTGCATCCTGGATTGAAAAGCACTGGTCTAGAAAATGCTAGACTCACATGGAAAAAGTATGGGTTCAACCAAACATTTTTCTTTTCATATTAAATAAATGGAATGATGACTGGTAACGCTATAGGTAGTGCTGCCTCACTCATCAGGGAAGCGCCACCAGGACTCTGCTAAATAGGAAGACATCTTTGGGCAGCACCAGCACTGACAGATCTGGAGCACAGCGGTACAGTGGGGAAGGATAAACACCGGTGTCTTGATAGGCTCAGGCCAGTGGGACAGTCAAGCTGGGCTGATCAGAGCCAAACCCAGCAAACACATATCTGGGAGAAGAAGCCACCAGAGAGCCTAGAGGTGTAGGAAGCCATCTCTCTCCTGCTCCGTGAAAGTCAAGCTGCCATTGCCCATGAGGTGCGCCGACCATCTCGTGTAGGAGAACTGCTATTCCTAGAGCCATGGAGTACTCCTAGCTTTAGCCCCACAAAATTGTGATTTGTTATAGAGACAGGAAGCATGCCTAGCACTAAACAAAAAGCAAAAAACAAACTCATAGCCGTCGAGTTCAAAACTTTGACTTTTCAGTTAGCAGCTGAGTGCTTGACCATTGTGCCACCAGGGCTCCTTTGTGAAGCATTCCCCAAACAAAACAAAACCTGTTGCATTTCAGTCAATTCCAACTCATAGCCA